TAATTTATAAGTTTTGAGAATTGTAGGATATTATTGCATAAATGTGATAATTGTAGTTCAATGTTGAATTTTAAGTTAAATAAGTAATTTGGGATCAAAGTGCAAATTTGGATAAATTTGGTGATGGAATTCAAATAGTCACAAAAGTTGAGACTTAATTGTGAATTTTCAAATATGATGGTATTATTTTAGTATGAAATTTCAATGCTGAAAATTTATTTCAGCATGTTGATTTTTAAGTTTAAATATTGGATTTGGGATCAAATTGCAATATTATTAAGTGGGTGGTTGAATTTGAAAAGTCTAAGGAAATAGAGAATAAAATTGCAAGTTTTTGAAGGTTAAAGTATTGAATTGAGTATATATTTAAGTTGCTGGAAATTTTAGTAATTAATATGCAATGATCATAATGATGAAGGATCATTATGAATTTAATGGAAAAATTAAGGTGAATTCTAGAAAGAATTCATAATTAGTGGCTTGATTGTGCAATTGGAAAAAGTTAAAGAATTGATGAAGGAAATAAATATTTATGGAATCGAATGAGCATATTTGAGAAGTTTGAAATTTTGATGGAAAACATGATTTAATTTTATATCGATTTAAGTGTCAATTTTATTTCTATTGAATTTTATATTTAAGCTTAGATTATGTTAGTTCGATACTAACATATAGTTTGAATAATTTATATTATTTTATGGAGTCGTCAGACCACGATAAATCTAGTGATTTATGTAATTTGAAAGGGAAGGAAAAGTACGACATTGAGAAGATTATCGTAGAGAAGATTCGATAGCGAGGCAAAGGTGAGTGCATATTTAATTTATATTTATGTTATCGAACGAACATTGGTTTGCGATGAGCCAGTGACGGAGTTACTACGGTAAGAAGTGACTCCTAAATAATATGTGATTTGTGATTCATGCGTATATGTTCATTTGGTAAGCTAATAGAATTATGGAATAAGCTAAGGATGCTAATTAAGGAAAACTGCCTAGAAATTATGATTCAAACAGTAAGTTTAAAAACCCACCATAAATTATAAAGAAGTGATTAGAGGATGATATCTATACCATTGGATTTGTATATCAATTTAGTTTCATTTAAAACAAATGGATATTGATTTCGAGGAGTATACAAAAATATATGAATTTTTAATTAAGGATACGTCAGAAAACAGAACAGCAGATTCTGCTCAAAAAAGCTTTTGTAAGTCAACTTTGAAAATTCACTATAAATTGTACAAGTTGAACTAGAATGATTGCTTTATATAGTTACGTATTCGAGTCTAGTTTCCATTAATACAAGTGGAATAATTTTTAAGTATATTGATTAATACAAAATAATATTTCTTTGAAGATTGTAAAAACTGTCAGATTATGAAATTTCAATAAATTATGTAGTTAAAGTAATTGAAAGCAAATTATTAAATCTAAACCTTAGTGAGACTTATATTTTGACTTATAAATAAAGCTTCAAAGTGAGTACAGTTTGTTTGTTTAGTTATTCTGATTGAGGACGATTTGTGATAAGTCAACCTCGTACTATTTAAAGTATGTTTCTATTTTAAATACATATTATTTACATAATGTTTATATAAAGTTTTATGAATGATTTAGGGTATGAACTGTCCAAATTCATGTTTTATGATGATGAATTAAAAATAATTTTAATTTTTAAATGTTGATTATTAAATGATTATGATATGATTTAAAAGACCATTGTATTTTGCATTGAGAGTCGCACGTACATTTGGCATGCCATTAAGCTGAGTTCAGTCAAGTTAAGTTATGGTACATTCGTGTACATTATGATCTGCACCGTTGGTGCCTATGTTATGATTTTCACTTGGGAGTGCATCTTATGATGATTATTACAATTGGCACTGTGAAGTGCCCAGTGCGCACCTTATGTTCAACTCACGTACCTTGTATTCTCTTACATATACATTGGGCTATAAAAGAATTGACCTCGAATTTGAAGGGTAAGTCCTCTTAGTTCATATTCTAAAGCTTGCTTGGATTGGGTTTGTTTATTTTATTTGGGAAGAAGGTAATCACAGGCATTTTAGGGGATGATTTGTTTGACTGATGCAATTGTAAATAATATAAGCGAGGCTGTTAAAATTAAACTGTATAGGTGTTGCATGAATAGGATGAATGATGTAAATAGGCGGATGTGCCTAGATTGGGGACTAATCTAGTGTTTTGGAAAGTTTCTTGTAGCAACTTTGCTGCTTTCTTTTGGATGAATAGAATTTTACTTATCCAAAAAAAATATATGAAATGAAAGTTCTGAAGAATGTTCGAATAAAAACTATGAATTATTTTATGATATTTGATGATGATTTATATGATTTTTCAAGTTTTCAAGAAGAAAACGGTTTAAATAGCTCGGTTTGAAAGTTCTAATGGTTTATTTAAATTATTGTTTTATGTTATAATACTTTATGAATTTTATGTTTTATATCAATTTAGTTATATTACTGTCTCACTAAGTTTTTCTTAGCACGTGATGATTTTCATGCGTAAGTACAGATAGAGAAATGAGCGTGAAGTGAGGAGCCTCTTGAACCTCTTTTAAGAAAATCATTCATAATATCAGTATCAGTAAGGCATCTTATCTTTGACTTATTAGTGACATGAATATTATATATGTATGTTGATTTATCGGATTTGTTTTCCAATGGTATGTAATAGTAAATTAGGGTCATTTTATTTTAGTTAGTCTATTTATGTTCATATTTATGAATAAATAGTTTATATATAATTATGTGAGAATTGTTGTTGGTGCTGCTGTTTCTGGACCATCCTCATAATTCTCGTCCTCGCGTTATTAGTAGCCGTAACCGGTTCCCTCTTTTACGTACTTTACCGTCCTCATCGACCTTCATTTATACTCGCTTCCCTCCGTATCCACCGCTTGAACTTAACGACCACCGCCGACTCCTCCTCCTCCCATCTCTCAACCGTCTACAACCTAACCATTTCCTCCAAAAACTCAAACTCACACCTTTCCTTCTCCTACGACCCATTCGTGGTTTCATGCGTATCGAGCAACATCGACGTTTTTATCGGCAATGGATCATTACCGGCTTTCGTCAGTGACAGCAAAAACGAGACGATTTAAAAGTTTTTTTTTTTTTCAAAGTAGTATTTGTTATAAATACTTTCAGACAATGAATGTTAAATCAACTAACGTTGCTTTAACTCGTGACCTCAAAAAATAATAATTCCTTCAATCAGGTGAGTTGTATTTTCTTAAAAGTTGAATGATAAACACATAATCTTACTAATAATACTGTAATTGTGGTGTAGTTAAGTAGTTAAGCATAAAGTAATATAGGATTTGGCTCGTTGACAGGAGGAAGACAGTGAAAGTGTGAAGCGGCGTGGAGGGTTATAACTGGTTTCAACTCATGCTTTGGTTTTTTCAAGCACACGATTGTGCTTCGACATTGGATGGTGAGCAGTTCAATCATATATATAAAAAGATGAATTAATAAAATTTTATAGGTAAAAATAAATTATTAATAAAATATATAAAAAAATACATATTTATTATATGAAAATTTAAAATTTTGAAGTCACGATCTCCCTAGTCCCTACCATCCTTCTGAGCGAATCCACAATTTTACAGCCATTACAGTAGGGTCTGCAATCTGTCCGTAAAACACTAAAATCAAAAGCAACATCATTTTTAAGAGATAAGTCTATCAAGAAATTGAATCAATGAAGAAGCCTTGTAAAAGAACATATCTTGAAATTCCAAATTGAGTTCAGAAACCAGCAAAACTGGCCAGCATTGTGAGAAAAGTGCCATTGATGGCATGGAACGAAGAACGACCTGTGATCGGAGTGTATGAGGAGGAGAAGAGGCGAGCGGCTGTAGTGTTTGTAAGTTAGGGATTTTGGTTACAAAGGAGAGGATAGAAAGATGAGTTTATTATTAGTAACAAATGACTATAATATTTAATGCTTTACGGTACAGGGTTTATATAATCCAAATTAACATCAAACTTTTAACTAATACGAACAACCACTTAACTAATTATTATTATATCTAATTACATTCTAACAACCACAAGCATCAACATCTCACCGCAATTAGGCAAGCAAGAAACAAGTAGGGGAAACCAAGTCCAATAAACAAGGATCATCACCAAAATCTCGACACCAAAAAAAATATGAAAGATTGTGCAAATAGATTGGTCCTAGCAAAACACACCTCAGGATAAAATGTCCAATGCTGGTAACTAATCAAGAATCAAACTTCATCTTCCTTTAAACACTGGTACAAAACAGCAATGCTATAATGCAAAGCAAAATGTCTGTCCCATCCCATGTTTTTTTTGTCTTTTCAAAAATACTCACTTTTGAAAACTCATCTGCAAGTTTTCTGTGATCTTTGGAGACCTTCGAGATAGAGTAGTGTTTGAGATAATACCCAGTAAAGAAGTTGTGGAGATATGCAGCCAAGCTAAGCCTGGATGGTTTGCTACAAAGGCATATTGGACAGCCAGATTCAGCAAAGGAAGTGCTCCTCCAGGGTGTTGTTGACTCCATTCAGTGTCGTCATAGATCTTTCCTTGTATGGATAATCCATAGATCTACTGATTTTTTCGAGGCTTTCGAGCACTGCTTGGGAAATATACCTCCGTCTTTGTAGTTGGGCAATGATTATGGCATGATAAAGAAAATAGGTGCTAGAAATTTACTTTCACCAATGGCTCTTACTTAATCAGTGTAATTGTAAATACTAGCTGTAATTTGTAATTAACACTATAACTTAAAAAGACATTCATAATCATAATCTCCCTCCTCCAACCTTCAATCCAATCCAAACCAATCCAATCCAAAACTCTCGTACAAAAAAATGGGTTTTGGTTCATAAGCCCATAGATGGTGGGATAGGGCTTCATTTTTGGATCAGAGAACAAAAAATAAAAATCGTTTCACACTTCTGAATAGTTTCAGTAGACAGTAGAAAAGAATATCCGATACTCGGCTCTTCTGATTCGTCTTGAAAATGGAATATTAAGAAGCTAAAGTCCTCTCTTTTGTTCCTTAAACCCCAAGCAGACGCACCTGTCTCATCTCATGTCCGGTTTCCACTTTCTAACGGCATCTTCTTCTTCACTTCGTTTCTAAGCTTTACTTATTTCAAGGTAAATACTTTTTTCTCGTTTTTATTGGTTCTTTATATGTTTTATTAATTGGATGGTTTGAAATGATTAGTTGTCCTCAAATGAGAAAGTTAACTACTTTTAAACTCCTGGGTCTTTAAGATTAATGTTTTTTCAGGTGGGTTTACTTGAATGATCAACTATGCCAGCTTAAATGCTTGGTTTTTTGTGCTTTGTAGGAAATTGTGTTGAACGCGGATATTTGTATGAACTTGTAGCTGTAGTGGTTGCTAGAATTTCGGGTTTAACAATTTAAATTGTCTTTTTATTTGACAATAGAAAATTTTCAATAATACAGGATTGAAGTATATTGCCTTTAAGCCTGAAGAGCATTTCCCTTGGTTTTAGAACTAATTTTGGACCATATTGGTATTTGGCAGGTGCATTTGCAGATTGTTGGTTAGAATCAAACAGTAAAAATGGCACATTTGCTTTCAACTTCTTTCTCGATAAAGATCTCCTCTAGCAACAGACCTTTTGGTCAACCTCTGAATCAGGTTCGAGCCACACTTCCTAACTCGTTTACCATTAAGACTTCCAAGCTGCCCTTCAAAAGACTTGTTTCGAAAGGAGATAGAGAAAGAAAGAGTTGTGTGGTTCTTGCAACTGCTGCCCCTGTAAGCAAAGAAGTTTCAGCTAATCCTAGGTCTGGTTCTGATGGGTCCTCGAGTGATTCTTGGAAGCCTCAGCGGGTCATGGTTATAGGCGGAGATGGCTACTGCGGTTGGGCTACAGCCCTTCACTTGTCCAACAAAGGTTATGAAGTTGCAATTGTGGATAGCCTTGTCCGACGGCTCATGGACCACCAGCTTGGTCTCGACTCCTTGACTCCCATTTCCTCCATCCATAACCGGCTCCGTTGTTGGAAAGCTATCACTGGGAAGACAATTGAACTTTATATTGGTGACATTTGTGACTTTGAGTTCTTATCTGAAACCTTCAACTCATTTGAACCTGATGCTGTTGTCCATTTTGGAGAGCAGCGCTCTGCCCCATACTCGATGATTGATCGATCAAGAGCTGTGTTCACTCAGAAAAATAATGTCATTGGAACACTTAATGTTCTTTTTGCAATAAAGGAATTCAGAGAACAGTGCCATCTTGTGAAGCTTGGGACAATGGGAGAGTATGGAACTCCAAACATAGATATCGAAGAGGGTTATATCACAATTACTCACAATGGAAGGACTGATACTTTGCCTTATCCGAAGCAAGCAAGTTCCTTTTATCATCTCAGTAAGGTTCATGATTCAAATAATATAGCCTTCACTTGCAAGGCTTGGGGGATCAGAGCCACTGATCTGAATCAAGGAGTGGTTTATGGGGTAAAGACCGATGAGACTTCAATGCACGAACAGCTGTGTAACAGGCTTGATTATGATGGAGTATTTGGAACCGCATTGAACCGGTTTTGTGTTCAGGCTGCTGTTGGTCATCCTCTTACGGTTTACGGGAAAGGAGGCCAGGTGAATATCCTCTTTCAAATCTCTACTAAAGCATTGATAGCTTACACATTTTGTTTATTATTCGGTTTTAATAAATCTACAGTCCACTATTAACTGAATTGGTTTTCATTAACCTAATGTTTACTTTGTTACTCTTGTATCTGTATGCAATGCAACATACATTTTGGCAGAGACATGGAATGTTTTACCACACACACAAGACGTGTGTGTCTGCGTGTTAAATAAAGCTTGAAATTCCTAGATATGTTTAGCTGTAATCAGACGATGGTGATTTTCCTGCTTGCGTATATAACTCTTTCTCTCATGTTTTATTTCTAAATTCAGACTAGGGGTTACCTTGATATAAGAGACACAGTTCAATGCGTGGAACTTGCCATTGCAAATCCAGCAAAACCTGGTGAATTTCGGGTCTTCAATCAATTCACGGAGCAGTTTTCCGTCAATGAACTGTCTTCCCTTGTAACAAAAGCAGGAAAGAAGCTTGGACTTGACGTGCAAACCATATCCATGCCCAACCCAAGAGTTGAGGCAGAGGAACATTACTACAACGCAAAGCATACTAAACTCATTGAGCTTGGACTCGAACCACATCTCCTCTCAGACTCTCTTCTTGACTCATTGCTCAACTTTGCTATCGAGTTCAAGGATCGTGTTGACACAAAACAGATTATGCCCAGTGTTTCTTGGAAAAAAATTGGGGTGAAGCCACATACCGTGCCAGCTAATTAGGTGGTCAACAATAAGAGGAAGTCCTTGTTCATCTTGTTGTACCTTTCGTAGATGGTGCTGCAGCCCTTTTGACTTTTCATGTCAAAGCATGGTCTGTAATGTGCAATCGAAATATAGACTTCGTTATAAATGGATCGAACATGAGAGAGTAATATTGCTCCAGTTCTTGAGTCCTGACATTTTGGCGTAGGAACCTGTTGAATGTGAGCCTGTTTCGTATTTAGTTGCTTATTATAGCTTGATAGGCTGGAAAATAACTGTAATATGTCCAAAACTTCAGGTATTCTGAAAATTCGCTATAAGCCGTTGTTATTAGTAATCTGACGCGACCGAATTTCCATATTGTTAACCTCTTGCTTCTCGTTTGTACTTTGGTAATACATGAACCGCTGGCATCGTCGACGAATACGAGCAAAAGTTTGTTGCATAATCATATGGTTGAAGTCATTATTAAATTTGTAGTGATTTTTCATTACAGATTTGTCCCTGGGGAAGGGGGATATAATGTGTGCTGTGCAGTTGTCCCTTTCGTATCAACATCCATGTTCGAGTGTCTAGTATATTCTACTGGATATCCTGAGCCAAAACCCCATCGATTTACTTGTTTTCTCGCTCAGTTTTTGGTTATGGGAAAACCACTCTCCCTGTGAACATGTTAATCCCAGAAAGGTAAATGCAAATGGTAAAGAAAAGGAAACAAATAAAACAACAGAAAATTCATAGAGTCCAGTTGTATCGCAGGCTTCGAACAATATCATTTCATTTTACCATTAAGGTCATTTGATAAGTTCATCGTATTTGTATGTGTTTGTTTGTGGGAAATGGGAATAAGTCAAAAAGATTAGTACTTCAACAGTAGAATAAATCATTTGTGTTTCTCTGCTTTTGCTTCCCAGTGTGATGTAAGCTCGACTCTAAGCAACAATGAGGGGGCCATTGCTCAAAGTATGATCCGGGGGAGGTATTAACTGGAGAGGATTGTGAGCCATAAAAAATGGGTCTAAACCAAAGTATTGGGACCGATTAGGTATGAAAATTTTAAAAATATATATAAATTGGACAATACTAATAAGAATAACAACATAAATACAAGTGGGAAGCCCAAAAAAGAAAGCCAAAGAAAAACCATGACTTCACCCCATAAAAGAAAAAGGGAAAAAGAAAACAAAAGAGGTGAGGAACTGATAAAGCACTTAAAGATGCTTTTTTTTCTCTCTCCCAACTTTTAGACCAAGTTTTTAACCTAAAACCCAACCATTAAGGAACTTTCAGTGGGGTACTTGAGTTTCCGATTTCTTATTACTTCCTTTTTTAGGTTTTTCTTCCATCCCACGTAGAGAATCAGGAGATTCTTTTTACATTAGGCCGCAAAGATTCTAGGCGAGGTCCATTGGTGGGTAAATCAAACACACTCGCATGGCATGGCTCCCATTTTCGTAAATTTTAAGTGTTCGAAAATGAGAGTCCAATAGTGGCTGTGATTTGTGGGTTGGTGTTGTCTTTTCCAAACCCAAAGGAAAGTGATTTCACCTCATTTGACATTTTGACTTCAAGGGGGTATTTTAGTTTTTAATTCATATCAACACAAGTGATCGAATGTTAGATTCGTATAGAGAGAGACCCTTCTTATCTGTCTAAACATTTGTATGAAATGAAATTATGAGGTCGTTGAACTGATCTCGGAATATTGTCCGATAGGTTGGTGACAACTTGGGGCCATGTCTTTGCCTTCAAATATGCTAAAAACCACAGCTTTTTCACCTCATCACTGTACTTGTTTAAGAATCTGGAATTCTGGGTTGGTTCACACCTCATTTGCAAAGTGTTCTTGGGATCATCAAAACCCTTTTTTTTATAGCCATTAAAGACTTCGTCAAAGATCTACTTTTTGAGTTTAAAGCACAATTTCCAGACAACTAGCCCTAGGTATTGCTTGAACCCAGAAAAAAAAGGGGTTTTCAAACCGATTAAGAAGAATTGTTGAAACGATCACAATGAAATCTGTGGAGGGAATCATGCAGAAAAGAGCCGTGTAAGAATTTCCCAGGATTCCCTCCCCCCCCCCCTTTTTCTTTATAATAATTGGAAGAATATTGTCAGATTATGCGTCCATGCCCCTCTTTGATTGGAGCTCGTCATTGTCAGTTAAAAAGCATCACTAACCCAAAATTAAAACCCAGATCACATATTAACCATTCTTTTTCATCCAGAACCTATCTGGAACAAATTTCAACGGCTCTGATTGCTCAATAATTGGCAAATGGACCGCCACCTTTAATGGGTCCCATTCCACTCATTGCTCACTGTACTACTAACTCAGATCAAACCGAGTTCCCTGAAACACCATAACTCCCACTCCTCGAATTCATCGAAGGAAATAGAGAAAAATAGGAAATTTTCACACATACAGTACAATTTCATTCACTGGATTTATGTTCATCGACTTGCAAAGAAGTTACGGTGATAATAATGACAAGGAAAACCCAGATTTAATAAAGCATAAAAATGGCAGCTTGTTCTTTTCTTAATGCTATTAATGTATGTATATCATACCCAGAGAGCGCCAACTTCTACGAGCTTCGGGACGAGGTGTCCACTAAGGTGGAGAGCCACCAGGGATTCGAGCCCGCCGATGCACGTACCACCAATGAACACGGCCGGTGCAGGATTCCGGAAGGAGAGGCCGTCGTGAGCAGGCGGAGTAGGGAGGTAAGCGATCTCATGGTCATCGAGTTCGATGACGGTAGGGTGAACCCCGATGGTGGCCAATAGCTTTTTCATCACGTGACACATGCAACAGGAGGACTGACTGAAGACGATCACGGGGTTCTCCGATATCAACCTCCTGATTCGTGCCTCCGTTGGTTCCTCCTCGTCTATGGAAAAGCCGCCTCCACTGATGGCGGTGGCGGTGCTCATGGGGATGTTTTTCGAGGTAGAAGAAGGAGGCGGCGGCGGCGGTAGCGGACTTAGATCAAGCTGAACAACGTCACTTGACCAGCTCCTTAACCTTTGCATCGCCAAAACAAAAATCTAGGAAGGCTTTTCTGTGATTATAGTAATGTCAACGAGGAAAAAACTAATGGGATAAGGGACTTAAATACTCATATATAACAGAGAGAAAGAGAAAGCTCCTTTTGCTTTGGTTATGGTTGCTTACATCATAAAGTACTATGTTACGTAAGTCTTTTATTAAAGGAAGTGAATTTTAATTTTAATTTAAATTGAAACAATTTAAATTATAAAAACTAAAATATACCAATTATCTTCCGATTATATAATATTTTTTTATAAATCTCTTAATTATTAAAAATTTAAAAAATAGTTTCTCGATTATATTGAGTTGCTTTGTTGTGTCCCTTGATTATTCATTATGTTTCACTCTGTTAAAAAGTTAACGGTCATCTGAGTTGGAAGTTAACATGTTGACTGATATATGAGAGTCGCTTGAGAATATGATATCATATCTCAGCCAGTAAATCAACGTACAACTTACACTACCGTTAATTTTTTAACGGAAATAGACAAATTGATGGATCGTTTTATAACTTTTAATAATCAAATATATATAAATAAAGTAATCTAGTGAGGAGACCATTTACATATTTTATCCGATTATAAAAATTTGATCCACAATATTTTTAACTTTGAGTAGTACTCATCGAGTAATTTGTGTGTTCTGTTTTGTTTTGGTCATGGCCATGTGCATGTGGGTACGCACGATATTTGAATTTTTCAAAAGCAAAGATTAGAAAGGGAAGTGATGGCGTGGGTTGGATATTTGTGAAGATGACAAGAGTATAGGTAATATTGTAAATATTACAAGTGGATTCTTTTGATGAGATTTTAACAAACTTTGCTTACCCGAAATGAGATGGGGGGAAGTGTTTTTAGATTTTTTTCTCTTAATGTGTTAAATTTTTTTAACCATGTCATTTATATTTTATATTAGGCTTAATATAAAAATAAATATTTAAATTATATTTAAATATTTATTTTTAGCGTTTAAAGAATTTTTTTTATAAAAAAAATGTCTAATATTTCTTTCGTTACACTTTTAGGTGCACACTGTTAAAAAAATCATTACGTGACATATTATTTTTTTATTTTTTAAAAATAGGTGACTAATGTCTATCAGGGCAGTAGCAGGGTTTTCGGAGGCCATGTATAAATTTTTATAAAGGGATCCCTATTTTCTAGATATATTCGATTTCGAGACAACAATAGTGGTATTTTTTTACAAACGCCGCGATAGATCTATCTATAATGGCGTTTTATCAATAAAGCCGCAATAATAATGTTTTTTTTATAAAAAAAGTCGCAATAGGTCCATCTATAGTGGCGTTTATTGAAAAAACGCCACTATATATATACTTTTTTTAGGGCCCATTTTTTAGGCCCTGTGCGGTCTCGTAGTTCGCGCCGCCCTAGCCACGACCCCTGATGTCTATTATGTTATAATTTTAGGTGTCTACCGTTAAAAAAATTTGAACGTGATAAGTGTTATTTAACGATTTTTTTTAACGGTGTACACCTAAAAATTACGTAGAAAATATTAGCATTTATTTTTAATAAAAAATTCTTAAGAAACAAGACGTTAATTTTAAATATAATTTAAAAACTTTTTTTATTTTAAACTTCTATATATTTTTAAATCGACAATAAATATTTTTGGGTTTCTTTATAATTTTCAAATAAATTAATTAAAAATTATTATTTGTGAATTTGTGTACAAAACACTCAACATTATTAAGAGGTGGATGAAATAATAAACGATTAGAAGGGGTGCATTACACGTACCGAGGCAAACGAGTGAGTGGGAGAACACATCGTGCGTCACAATTATACGGTAGTTCCGAAATACTGGATAATTGCCGGAACAGTCACATGGGATGATTGCTGACCGTAGTAACTGACACCAGTTACGTTACCTTCACCTGCCACGTGGAACCCAAAGCTCTCACGTACTCTCCTCCCGTGTAAATATAATCTTATTTGTTATTTAAATTTAAAATTTAATATATAAATAAATTTAAATTATATTCAAAATTAATTTTATATGTTTAAAAAAAGTTTGTTAAAAATAAATATTTAATGTTTCTTCGTAACACTTTTAAGTACATGTGATGTGATAATCATTAAAAAACAATGTTTTTTTTTCATATTTTATATAATTTTTAATTATAGTAGTAAAAACTGAATTTTATCCCGAATAAAAAATACATTCATAATTTAAGTTGAATCTTACATATAAAAATGTGAAAATATTGTTTGGTTCAAGAACATGTAAGATATGAGGTTTATATAGAAATTTGTCCTCATGAATGATTAACAAAATCATATAACAAAATTTATGTATAAAATAATAACACCATTAGTTGTTGCTACTAAAATAATCATATAAATTAGTTTAAAAATAATAATATAAATATTTTTATAAGTTATATAATTATACAATTAGGTTCGCATAAAAATCTAATTAATCATATTCAATAAATAATACATTTATATATTAATAAAATAATTTTAATTTGTGTTACAATTTTTTTTGAACTTAAAATTAAAAAAACAAATATTTAAATAACTTAATTAACATAAACCTTAATAATAAATATTAATCTAATGGGATTTAATAATAATATATAAATAGATTCATTAGATATAAAGATGGTTTAAAAAGGTTAAGAAATAACCATTTTAGCTTTTATCCTATTTTGTTAAGAAACATAACATAAATACTCCAATATTCTTATATAAACTAACAACATTAGGCTATTCAACTTATTGAATTAATACGTATTAAATTATATTATTGATCCCTATAATTTCATTTTTTAAAGTATATTTTTAAAATTATGTTTTTAGGGAAAGCTCTCAATGTGAAATATACTTCAATATGTACCGTCACATCAGTCGAATCTAGGGAAGGCACTCCATGTGAAACGCGCATTCTTGCCACATAAGTAAGGCGTGTTATAGGAAAGACGCCTTCTTATCTTGATTTCAGGAATGAGTGCTAATACGGTGTTTTTTTTATTTTTTTGGATATTTTTTTTATAAAATCGCCTTCGTTTTGTGATTTTAGAGAGATTTATAATTTTTTAATATATATATATATATAATTACATAATATACATAAGATAATGATGTTTTTTTAACGGAGGCCACAATCTATGCTCACAAGTGTAACGAAAAACATTAAACATTTATTTTTAGCGAAAAAATCTTTAAATACCTAAAGTTAACTTTGGATATAGTTTAAGTACTCATTTTTGCATTAAGCCGAAAATTAGTTGTTTAGCATTTAGTTCAGGTCAAAGTATGTATTTAGTTGCTTAATTATTTATAGAGTTTCGTTTTAGTTATTCAATTATTGCCTTTTAAAATCATACATAATTTTACATTTTGATTTCATTTTTTATTTGTCTTTTAAAAAATTAACGTTGATATTAATTACATATAAAAAAATACACAAAATGGAATGGTTAGTTTAGCGTGTAATTTTTTTTTTATCTAAAAACATTATTAAAAGTAGTATTATTGTAGTTGGTACTAGGGTTGTAAATGAAATGAGATCGATCGCGAGCTACTTAAGATCGACTTGGTCAAAGCTCGATAAATGTTGAACTTGAATGGACTCTACTCGAGCTCGAGTTCTTAACGAGTCGAAACAAGCTACTTGATACTCGGCTCGAAAAGTTCGTGAGCATCTCAAAAATATAATATATTAATATTTTATTTTTAAAAAATAAACTATTAATAATATTAACATTTATGTGTTGATTTAAAAAAACAGTATAAGGTTTTTCTGTATTTAAGGTTTAGATTATAGTTTGAGGATTTAATCGAGTTAAATTTGAGATTTTTTTTATTTTTCAAGCTTTTACGAGTTTCAGTTCATAATTTTGATTTCGAGTTCGAGTCAAGTTTAAAAATTTTAGGCTCATGAGTTTTCAAGTCGAGTTGAATTTTATTTCAAAATATTTAAATCAAATCAAACTAAACAATATTCAAACTCGACTCGACTAATTTTAAAACCCCAGCTGGTACAATGGAAAGCAGTCCAACGCAGAAGGCAACGGTGGGAAGAAAGGATAGCTAACGTGCAGCGAGCACTGATTGGGAATTGGCGCCGGTGGGGGGAATGGACCCCCACTGGCATGACATAATCATTTGAAACAAAGTTACACGGTACACGTCATTGTGGCGTTCCCGGCATGACACGTGTAGGCTGTGTTTAACTTTCCTTCAGGCGTGGAGGGCTGTGGGGTTGGCGGGGAGAGACACCAAACGTGGGGGCCTCACACCTTTCGGGTCTCAAATCTACGGCCAATAATTAAATGACACGTGCAATTTCGGAATGCTGGGATTAGTAAAATTAGATGATTTAAGCTTATCACATAATTCGTGTTATTGACTAATAATATTTATCTATATTATTTTTTAAGTTGAATTTTTACTTATTTCTTATATGTAAATTAGATTCATATAATTATTTTAAAATTATTTTAAAAGTTATGGTTTTCATTCACTAAAACTACTTATAATGTAGTGAACCTAATATATCAAATAATTTTTTGAAATTAGGGTCTGTGGGAGTAGGATCCCACCATTATGAATATGTGGTACTGTAAACTGTAAAGGAAGGGGCCCCCGGAGGAGTCCCGAGTGAAGGAGCACCATCGACGGTGATAAAAAATAAATAAATAGGAGATTGAGATGGTGGTGTCTACCACAATTTTGATGAGATAAGCAGAAGGGATTGGCGTCAGATCACCTTTGAAATTGGAGTCCCCTACTTAACCCCCCCCCCTTCTCCTTTCTCTTTAATTATTTTCTTCCTACTTTCTTTTCGTTTATTTTGGTTTACGTCAATAACTAGCTTTTTTATAAATCACTTAGGGTTCGTTTAGTTCACGGAATGTAAGATTATCAGTGGGAATAAAAGATTACCAGGGAATAGGATTACTGGGAATGTTATATTTTTTGTTTGGTTGGTTTAGCATGAATGTAAGATTATCATATTTGGTTAAAGAAATAAAAGATTATTGGAAT